GCCACACGTTTCTTTCCTTGTGGCTTCCGTTCTTATATCCCTCCTTCCCCCCTGCCTCTCCCTCTTCGCTCTTTTCGTTCCTTTGTCGATCCCCTCCATCGTGATTACTTCTCTTTTTTGGAAGTGTCGAGCTCCTGCGCTGCCCGCTCAGCACGGTTCTGCGCTTCGTCACGCTAATGGATCGTTTGTAAGGTGGTACGAAATATGAGATCTGAGAATCGCAGGACTAAATTAGCCAGCGTATACCGTATACAGTAGGGATGGATGACAATATACCCTTACTGCAATAAAATATGGCGGTGATTGAGCAAAATATCAGCATGTATTATAGAACCTTGCTCCCTACCCGCATACGCCTCGCCTTCACTTATCACTTACTGTTTTCTTGGCCTGCTCGCTCTTCCCTTCATGTAATCTTTTGCTTCTTCCACGCCCTCTTCTACACTCTCCTGGGCCCGGTAAAGTCTGTCCGTGGCCGTGCTCTTAGCCTCGGTTGCCTGCCGAATTCAACACATAGACATCAGTGTGAGAGCAAGCACAAGTTAAAGAAAGCCCTCCCACTGCCAGCGTTAGTCTCCCATGTCGTCGGGCTTACCCGCTGCTGAAGCTGTTCAGCCAGTTTTTCCTCTTCCTCTGTAGACACTGTTTCCCATCGGATATAAGCATGGCCGTAAGAAGTCGAATACAGCAACATATTTGCCATTTACCCTATTTCGGTCCTCGCACTTTACTCTTCCTTCGTACCCGTGTTGTTTCGTCGCAAGTGCCAATCTCGTCACTCACCTTTCATCGCATGTTCAGCAGCCTCCTCCGCACGCTCTTTGTATTCGTATGCCGTGTCGCTGACTTTTTCGTACGCTTCACTCGCTTTCTCTTTTGCTTGCTGGAGGTGCAGAGGAGGCAAATTTACGTCAAGACATTTATTCAAAGATTGAAATAAAAAAGCTTGACGGAATTGGAAAATGCCCTCCCTTCAAAATGTGGTACACGAACTCTGCAACACAGAAACATGCGGTCAGGTTTTGTGATCACGAATTACATACCTCTGTAGTATCTTCAAGTGCCTCTTTGGTTCCTGTCACTTTCTCTTTGGCTGCCTCTTTGATATCGTGAGCTTTATCCGACACAACACCCAGCTTTTCTTTCACTTTGTCTTTTGCAGCGACAGCCGCGTCGACGATGCCCTCCTTGGCCTCGCTTGCAAAATTCTTGGTTCCCTGCCACGCAGTCCCCGCTTCATCTTTCACCTCATCGTACAGCTCACCGGCCTTGCTCTTGTGCTCGTGTGCGCTTTCCACTTTCTCGTGGACCTTTTTCCTCTCTTCATCGTCTGGTCCGGGATATCGGGGCGGAGTTGGCGGCGGGTTGGAAGACGAAGAAGAGGCAAAGTGACGAATCAGGTCCCGCGCTGCATACGAATGCTTCTGCTCAATACTCCTGTGAAATGGACATATCAATTCAACGTAAATACGTCAACTTCTATTGCGAAACGGGTCTTGAGAGTCGCACCTAGAGAGAAACAGAGTGTTTCTAGTTCCATAGCTTACCACAAAAGGTTGCCCGATTTAATCGGCGTGGTGACGGATTTGCAATTAAAGGCGTGTGTGATGGTGTCCTTGCCTCCTCGAGAGTATTCCCGGTTTGAGGTCAAGGAGGACTTGTGACTCAGAAAGGCAACAGGGGGAAGCTGATTGAAATTGGAGCCTCGTGATGCAGCAAACGATGCACGTGAGGACGTGCCGACATTGCAGGCCCAACTCTTTGCCCCGCCACAAGCATTTACTCCGGGTTTCATAGCGTGCACCAAAAATGTGGAGCGCTCCATGGTTTTAGGGGACAGAGCAGCAATAGCGACAATAGATGCCACGGTGATGCGCGGATGAAAGCGGAACATGCGTTCGCGAAAGGTAGTGTTGACTAGTTGTAATAGCTGTGGGAGGTTCAAATTAGCACGTTGTCGCATGACAACAAATGCAAGATGACTAACAGCCCTAGTCGTGGCTTCTTAGTATAAGAAATGCATGGTCCCCAAAAATTGAAAAATCACTGTTCACGTTGAGGTTCCGAAGAAAATTCATGGCATAGTGCGACAAGCATTCGGACATTGCCCCGGAGTTGGTACATAAACAGAACAAAAAAAAAGTCAAAAAAAAGCGGGGGAGGGGCGGGGCGAGAAAGCGGCGAGACACGTACGCGTCTGGCGGCGAGCGCCCAGCACAGCCCTCCAGCGCCTCGAGCCTCCCCCTACCCCTCTGCTGCCACTCGTACTGTCCGTGTTGCAGCTTCCAACTTCTTGACAAGCATCAAATGACAGGAATGTGGAAGATGGTCAACGGAAAACTGCAGTGGGTGGCTTACTCTGTTGTGTTATATCGCTTTCCCACATTAGTCTTGCAGCTCCTTCAACACAGGCTTGCAAACGGCGTGGATCGTAATCCATTTCCCCTTACCCTCGTCTTTTATGCGCGCATTTCGACAGGTTACTGAAGAGAGATATCCTGCAAGTGTATTGGATGCAGTCATCGGGATTTCATTCCGAAGGCATTTGACAAAGGTGAACTCAAGCCTTGTTGGCTTCAAGCTTCCAGACCCCTTGTGTCCTCACCCAGTACATCTCGTCTGCGTAAAACAAACCATTGCCAAAAAAATAGAAGGCGTGACGTTTGTTTGGAGGACATACTTGTGTGTGTCTGGTTTCACTTAGCTCGAGCCAGACATACATGACGAGGACAACCCGTGCGGCTTTTCCGTCCGCTCCTCAACTTCGGGCATCGAGCGCAGGGACCAGCAACAGAAGAAGGCACATCGCTGGCGCTGGCACGTTCCTCCATTTTTTCACTACTACTGGTACTTGTCTATATTTTTCTCTCTGTTGGTGGACCGTGTGCGACGCCTTCATAAGAAAAGCAGGGTGGGTAGCCCCGGTCTCCGCCTTTGCCTCCCAGCCCTCGCCCTCTCCACGCGGTCCACAACGTGTCGCGCATCGTTCACTGTCCTCCGCCACCTTCCCGTCGAGCTTCAATATAATTTCCATGGTGCCTGTTACCACGCGCGCATCGGCTGAACGGCGACAGGCCGCGGGCCTGGGCCTGAAACGAAGGAGCCATGCAAGCAACGGCGTGAGCAGCAGCAACATAGAGTTGCCTCTCTGCTCCATACGTGGTGGTTCGGGGGGGAAACAGTCAAGCGAGCATCCCTTGTACTCGAGCGCGGCGGCTGCTGGCCTGGATGCCGACGCCTACTTCCCGCACCCCAGAAAATCGGACGCCGTGTCCTCATCGGACGCTGTGTCCTCGATGGCTGGGAGCAGTCCGTTGGCCCCTTCTTTCGTCGAGACCAGGGACGGGGTTCGGAAGCATCGCGTTGGCTGGGACTCGGAGAAACGCCAATTCCAAGTCATCACCCACCCCATGCACGGGGACAGCTTCCAAGGCCGGGTGGAGCGTTACCTGCGCCAGAGTTTCCTGCCCGACCATGTGACGCCCGACTACTACAACTACACGCGCTGGCGAGTTCTCCAGCGGCTCATCTCTGCAACAGTCTCCGTCTTCGGAACGCGGGCCCTCTTACTGGCCTTGGGCCTGAAGACGGAGCGAGTGGGCCTGACGGCGACGTTCAATTGGATCCAAAAGGATGCCTTTGGCAAGTTTGGGCGCATCATGTGGGCCTCCAAGATGGGCCGCCGCTTCGACTCGGACGCCAAGCGGTGGCGGTTCAGGTCTTCGCTGCTCTACGCCGCGGGCACAGGCCTGGAGGTGTTGACCTACATCTTCCCGGCCGCCTTTTTGCTCCTGGCGACGGTCGCGAACGTCCTCAAGCAAATGTCCATGCTGACCAGCTCCGCCACGCGCAATGCCATGTACAAGAGTTTTGCCGGCGACAGTCAGAACTTGGGGGACATCACGGCGAAGGGGGAGGCGCAGATCGCCGTGGTGGATTTGTTGGGGATTCTTCTGGGAATTTTCCTGAGTAAAATGATTGGGACCGCCCAGGTAGGGATGGCAGTCGCTTACATCGCCCTGTCCTGCGTGGACGTCTTTGCCATCTACAACGAGATCCGCTCCGTGGTATTCTCCTCCTTGAATTTGGAGAGAGGGGCTATGGTCGTGCAAGGCTTTGCCCGACAGGGTCCTGAGGGAGTGCCGACCCCCAATCAGGCCTCTCAGAAGGAGCGCATCTTTTGGAACCCGGCGTCGATCGACCTCGGCATCTTCAAGACGGTCAGCCAAACCGGGTGCTCGTTGGAAGAATTACACGAGATTCGCGAGGTCTTCTCGGGGCCCGTGGGCCAGGAGAAGCACTTCCTCTGCACCTGGTCCTCCTCTCGCGGGGCTTCCATCGTCTTGCACACGGCGGCTACTCACCACGACATCCTGCGGGCGCTTTTGACCTGGGCGTACTTTCAAAAAGCGTGGGCAGAAGGGAGTGCCGTGGAGGAGAGGAGGGAGGAGGGAAAGAAAGGAAGGGAGGGAAGACGGAAGCATCGGCGGGCATGGTCTGCAGAAGAAGAGAAGGAGGAGGGGCAGCTGCAGAAACGAGCACTAATTGCTCTGACAGAAGCGCATCAACAGGCAAAGGAAGATGAGAGCAGCTTTTTGGAAGCCCTTGGGAGAAAAGGATGGGACATGCGGCATACAGTCTTTGGGAGGATCAAACAGCGGACAGAGTGGTGAAGAGGAGTGGTCAGTCAAGACTCGATGGGTGCGGGATGGCGGATCGGCACACATTCATGTGCAGCAGAGGTCATCGCTTGACCGGGAGTCGCGAGCTCAGAGGAAATGGAGTTGACTTGTTTATCAGAAGCCGAGGCAAAGAGACGCGCGCGGAGTGGATTGCCCAACAGAAATAGTTTAGGCAGAATGCCGTGCACCCGCTTCATTTGCAGAAAGGGCGGACATCAGCCATGTGTATAAAGCATCATTGAATGACGGGGACATAACATTTATGAAGCAAAATTGGAAAATTCAGTTGCCATGGCTTTAGCCGTGTGTCCGGCCAAATTCCGGGACTAGCAGATGCTTATTTGATCATATTATGACTGATACTGATTGTCCGTACTCACATACACTTAGAAAGCGTTTGACTTTAAGGCGCACATCCATGTGCCCATGCTCTACTTACAAATTTGCAATCCCGCAGCCTGCCCTTTGTATTATCCTAATCTACTCTATCTCACGGACGCCGCATCGTGTCAATCCTCTCGCATTCACATACGTGTATGATCCACTGCACAGCAATTCCACTGCCTGTGTTCCGCGTACCCCAGCCTCGTTGAGACCTCCCTCTAGTGTCCGCCTTTCCACCTTCCGTCTGTCCTACCCTTCCTCGGCGCTGTCCCACCCAGAAATGTCAACACTATTGACTCGGCGGCTTGGCTTCCACCCTTGAGTTTCTCATTACTGGATCAGGGCCCGAGAGAGGGAAGGAGAGGCAATCACGTCGTTGATATTGCTAACGACCCACTCCAACTGCCCCTCGTCGCCGAAGTAGTCGCTTTCGAAAGTGAAATAGTGCGTCCGCTTTTTCATTTCCCCCTGTTTCCCTCCCGTAAGACCTTGCTCAAGATCTTGCTCTGCATTATTTCCTACTCTGGGCCACGCTGTGGCCGGCCGGCTCTGGAACCAGAACGACTCTTCCACCGACAGCTCCACCTCGGCGACCAAGCGCCTGGGCACGTTCCCCTCCAGTTCCTGCAGCAAACGCCCCTCCGGTCCTATCACACCCTCCCATATGTGTGTCAATGCCTCATATCGGCCCATTGTCCCAAACAAGGCGTAAGTATTTTTGCTCAACAAGCCTTCCTCCACGCGCAAGCATCGCAACTTGGCCCGGACTGACTCCACGTGCAGGCAAGGCTTCACCCCCCACTCGGTGTACGAACGCTTTATGTCCTCCAAAAAACACGATAAATCAGGGGTACAATAATTGGAATTCGTGAAGTCTCCATATTTTCCTGCCTGCTCTCCCGAGCCGGGAACGGCCAAGAAATAGCTGACGATTCTTCTGTATGCCTGCTGAGCACCGTGCGACATATCTTCTGCCAAGGAGGCAGAAAGCTCATTCGCGATTTCGCTTGTCGTGAGGTCTCCAGGCATGTGCTCATGTTGTGGAATCACTGTGGGTTGCTTTTCGGACAGCCACCGGATGCGCGACGCAACTCTTCCTTGCACGTCTTCCTCGCCCATGAACCCCCAGGGCAGCAACATTCGATCTTGCGAGGGACCCAAGACCTCTTTCCAGCGAACATTGTACCCTTTCCACCGTGGAAAAAGTCCCCGTGCCCATCTTGTTGTCCGTTGTGCGAAAGACATGACCTCTATGTAGCGAGATAGGGAGTCGGCATGAGGGTGTTGAACACTAGAACTCTATGTGCCGTCAAAGAATTGAGGTATCAAATGCATTTGAAATACGTGAGAAATCGTCTCAAGGAAAAGCTGGGACAAAGACCAACAAGAGATCTTCGAGTGGGGATTCCCCGCGTTTCCACGCCGGTAATGCGGTCGAGTCTGGTGTGGAATGCTGGTGTCAGGCTCCGAGTTGAAGTTCGGGCTGGGGCAAGGAATGGTAGGGGTGGCCTTGGGAGAACAAGAATAATTGGAAGAACCAAAGCCGAAAATTTGCCTTTGCTGCCCCTTTTGGCTTTGGGACGTAGCCAGATTGCATGTTCTACGAAAAACAGTGTTCCAACTACTATTTTGTTACAGTCATGGAAGAGTATGCCCGAGGGATGGCTTCGTTGCTCGCCTTATTTCTTTTTTGATCCGAGGCCGTCATCCCCCCTCTCCACGCAGGACTCTTGGTGTCATGACCACTTTGACAAGTACAGAAGACGTGCCATCTCTCCGCCGCACACTTGAATCGTTGCAACGGCAGCATGCTGCACTGGATGCAGAGGAGCGAATGCTGGAGCTGAAGGTAAGTACACATAGCATCTCGTGGTTTTCATGATGGCATTATATGTTAACTTTTAGCTTTGCCGTACACAGGTCGAGGAAAAGAAAGGCGAACTCAAACGCAGCGAGGCCCGTCTTCAAAGTTTACAGAGTGTACGGTACGTGTTTCAATTGGATCAAGAAATTGGCATGAGATGGCAGCATGAGCCGCAATCAGGGGTACTTTCCCACGAATATGAAGCCGAAAATATAATTACACACGGCTAACCCGGCGAACGCTTTCTTACTGAGACATGTCGACATCATATGTTCTCAGGCCATCTTTGGTAGAAGAACACAACATGTTGGAAAAAGAGCTTGCACGGCAGTATGACGAGTACGTGCGGCTATACCAGAATTTGGACTTTCTTGAGCAAGAAGTCGACTCTCTCCGCTCGGCAGAGCTTGCGAAACAGTCCCGTGCGGAGCGACGCATACGATGCGTGCAACGACGGGTGCAAGTAGAGGAGGAGCGGCGGCAGGAATTGGTAGCTGGAGGTGGAGGCCCGGGGAAGCAAGAGGGAGGAGGAGGGGGAAAAAGAGGAAGCAGGGCAATGTCAGACGGAGATGGAAGGAGAAGAATGAAAGCAAGCGAAAGGGGAGCAATTAAAGGATATGGGAAGGAAGCAATGGAGGGTCAGCTTTTTGTCATGGTAAGTCGTGTACCACTTTGTAAGCCAGGAAATAGAGGCAATAAAGAGGAAAGCAACCCGCCCTCAACATGACATTGGGGCACCCACAGGACTACGGGGACGAAGTCATCACTGATACGAAGGCTTTGAACAATGTGATGGATGTGAAAACGAGCAGAGGAAGGTAAGTCATTTGTGACGATGCACGTGTCTCGTTCAGACGGCTCACTGCTTTTCCACTCGTGCTCTTAGAAGGACATCCGTATCGCAGCCATCGCCACCCACATCAACATCTTCGGCTTCTCCGTCGATGGAGCACTTAAAACAGTATGGCCATCCACCTCCATTGGCAAATCGGAAATTCTCGACCGCATCTTCCATTTTGGAAATGGGTGCAAAGCGTTCTTCTCCTTCCTCGCTGGGAGAGGGAGAGGAGGAAGATGATGATTTCTCGTTCTTGCCGGGTGAGGAGAAAGAGGACGGTACCGAAGATATCCGTGATGAAGACATGGAAGCTGTACACGAAGCAGATGACGACAACTTTTAAACGAGGAGCGTGTTCTTTTTCGCGCAAATTTTGTATACAGAGCGTGTTCTGGTAAAGTCAACAAAAAAGAAAGAGCAAAATACTGTCTTATTTGCGGCGACCTTTTATGCACCCTTTCATTAGCGTCAAAATGGGCAATGCTTTCCGATAAAAGATCTGCACCTAGCAGTACTGGTGTTGCGCGAGACTCACGCAGGATGGGCCATCAGTGCGGGGGCAGGCCCTTCGACCATCTCCTCCGAACGCACCATGAAGGCGGCAATTCGCGGGATTACTGCCCACTACATAGAAAGGAGAAGTAAGTGAGCGACATGCGTGCGCAAATATGTCGTTTGTGGGTTAAAGGGAAGGGAGGTACCCGCCAAGGTGGGCTGGACGGCTCGAATCGGCGACAGGCGCTCGTCGACTCGGAGGAACCAGCTGGGTCCATGTGCGGCCTATGTCCCTTTACGGCGGGTTTATGGGGGCGATCACGGAGTACGCATGGGTAAATGATGCCGAGCTTACAGCAGTGCAATCTTCTGAGTGATCGACCAAAGTTGAGCCGCGTGCATTTAAAGACGAGTTTTTAAGTGGTAAAACAACCCCGGGCAAGATCTCGCTCCGAGACGGATCAATTTCCTACAGCGCCTTTGCATGGTACACGTACTCCACAACTCTAATTTTCGCAACTACGCGGAACAGGTCTCAACGACAGCAATAATCATGGAGGAGAAAAGAGACGCTTTAAGCGTTAAGCAACAAGTGGTGGACTTGGCTGTGGCCGAAGGTATGAATATGAAGCCCTCGTCTCCGACCTCCTAGCGTCTGACGACATGGGAGCCGCATTCGAAGTGTCTTTTGCCCGTGTCCCCTCCTGTCTTCCCCTCCCTCGCATTTTCGTCCCTCTCAACATATGACACACTATCTCATGATTTCAGGCGTGCGTGCTGCCGTGGGAGCGGGCTGTCTATCGGGATTAGGCGTCTTTGCTGCGCATAAATACAGCCCCTGGTAATGCGCTGTGCCTCCACGGCTCCCCAAGCGCCCTCCCATTCTCATGCTGGTTTTCCTCCATCTTGTATACAATTAGGTTTAACAAGTCGTTGGGCATTTCTGGGAAAGTGGGCACGGTCATGATTGCCATCACAGGAAGCTTCTTCTTGTTCAGCGAACTGGTAGGGGCTAAGAGGTTTGTGGAGATCAGACAGCCAGTAGTGCGCGTTTCAATACCATCGCTACTAGAGGCATGATGGACGCCTTGACTGACAACATGTATTGCTTCTGTCCCACCCGTTTCAACGCAACCCGCTCGCATGCCTCTCTAGGTTTTGATTGATGCGCAACGCCATCCCCAAGCCTACGGCTTCATGGACACACCTGCTTTGACGGCTGCTCCCACTGATGCGGCAAAGCCCGACGCGGAGAAGAGAGAAAAAGATGAGGGCCTGGGGATGATCCACATCAAGCCGCGGTACGTGTACGCAACGGTGGCGAATCACCTGTACGACCATCCGTTCCAAATGCTCGTCGCGCTAAGCACCCCTATAATCGGGGGGTTTTTCTACACGGAGATGCAGAAACCGGGTAAGATAGGGATTACGGAGGTGTGCCACACGACTGATGAGATGGATGCGTGGTTGAGCTGCTGTTGGGAGTGATTTGTCTGTCGCCGGGCCCTCGGTCAAAAATCCTCGGAAGTGTCTTTATCTTTAAACATTGCGGGGAAACATTGCTAAAATTGCTCGTGTGATTTCGACATTTCATGAATTCTATCATCCAGGCTTGAAGTTGTCGCAGCGCATCATTCACACACGCGTGCAAGGTCAGGCCTCCGTGATCCTGATCCTAGCACTGACCATGGGCTTCAGGGAGTGGATGACAAAGAACGGAGGCCGCATTCCCTTAGATGAAGATGACGCTTAAGTAAGCCAATGTGTCCGCCTTGAGCTATACTTCTGTGGGACAAAAGGCAGCATTGGGAGAGAGGTTGTACAGAACGAGGCGAAAGACAGCTATATACAAGGGCGAACAAGCAATATATAGGAAGAGAGCGGAAGAAAATAATATTGACGAATGATGCTGCAATCCGAATAGCCGTAGACTTTTTTTCCCCGGATTAAAATATGCATATGACAAGTTGTTCGGTGTAGTGATTGACGTGAAGATGCGCAAGCTTTTATTCTACAACACTTGGAAAAAATTACTGGGTGCAATTCATCCCGTCCAGTCTTGGGGCTGCACGCTTTACATCTCGGATGCGTGCATGACAACGGGCATATCCCGTCGTTCTGGTAAAACGTGTGTTGCAATCATGTCGCCAAAAGGCCATGGGCCGAGGAGACGCACGCACAATCCCTCATTATGACTCTGGCTGGTTTTCTCGTCGATGGAGCAGCACAAGATCGTCTAGGATAAATGCAACCTACTCGATGTCTGCCTGCCTCCTCTTTATACCTTACCCCGATGATAACGTGTACATGACGGAGCAAAGGAGCACTCTCAATTACCTTCGCGCCGGGGTTACCCGCTCGTTGAAGGCGCTTGAGAAAAAGATACACACATGCGTGTCTCCAGGGCACCCTGTGCGGAGAGCCACCCTAGAGCTGAAAGCTTACCCTCATGAAATCTTATTCTTCTCATTGTGCAGGGTAGGAGTCATGCGGACGATATCGACGCTCGTAGCGTTGTCTGCCATCGTTGGTTGCAGCGCATTTTTGGCCCCGATGCCAGCGCCCCGGCAGGTAAGGTTGACACGTCCTCGCAATGGTTTGGAAGTCAGCACGGAAGGCCAATGTCCTCGAATTTAAATTTGGACAGAAGCGGTGATAACTGATGATGAATCTATGGTTAGACGTTCATTCGTGGAGCCTTCTTATCTGATGTTGTCTTTTTTACTGCAATTGACTCATTATGTCAATCCCGCAATACATCGCTCGCTGCCTTGACCATTCGGAACCCTAACCATTCCTACAAAACCCAGCAGAGCTTCACATGCTATGCAGCCTCGTCTTTTCTTAATGTTTCCGTTGAATGGCCCCCCTCATTGTCGCGTCTGTGCTTGGCTTTCGTGCGATGGTGTCGAGCGCATATTCATTTACGCGTCCGGTCATAAACGCATGCACAACAAACAGCTTACTCGCGTCCATGCCGGCGCCTCTGCCGGAGGAGACGATGACTGGAAGAATATCATCAACTCTGAGGCTAATCTTGCAAGCTATCTTAGCGAG